GAGAGAGAGAGAGAGAGAGAGAGAGAGAGAGAGAGAGAGAGAGAGAGAGAGAGAGAGAGAGAGAGAGAGAGAGAGAGAGAGATATTTTCATTTACTTTTTTCCGTGTCATTCTGGGCACATTTTTGCTGATGTTTTCTTGTCCTTTCGTACGAGTGAGGCTTTGACAGATCATGTCACTGGTTACAATCCTCTTATCCATCCATCTTATTAGTTACCCATCAAATTGGTCACACATGTCTTACCCATTCATCCATCTGTCCGCCCATCCATCCGCCCATCCACTTGACTGTCTGCTTGCCTGCCTGCCTGTGCACCTGCCCCTATGTCTATGTGCCTACCCTCCCCCCTTCCGACCCGCCTGTTCACCTGTCCTCCATGCCTGCCAATCTGTGCAGCCATCCTTCAAACCACCGGACACTTGGCAGGATTTGGCTATAAACATTTGCTGGAGTGAAGTTGCACTGGGTGGGTTTCGTTGGAGTTAGCTCTTTTTTTTCTTTGGATTGCGCTTGTTTCCTTGGAAGGGCTGTGTCTTTTCACTCTGCTACCGTCTTCACCCGAATAGAACACCCGGTCATTATAGCTGCATTTGGCCCAACTTTCAGTCCAGATGCAGTGATAATGACCGGGCGTTCTATTCGGGTGAAGACGGTGGTGCAAGAGCTTAAAGCACCAGTGCATGGGCACCTGGGTCGGGTGCTTGACACCTCAAATTCTGGACTGCGAAACTAAAACGCGACCGCTGATCAAATTTATCAATGGCGGGCCCAGCATTTGACGTTTCGGCCTGGTTTTCTTGTGGCGACAAGTTTCCAACTGCAAGGCTGGGGCCGTGTACTTGTGGTTTAAGCAGATAGCTGTTCTTGCTGCTTTTGTGGATGGTAGTGAAAGCATGCAAGAATTCAACCCGATAGCTGTTCCTTGTTCCTTCGGCTTTTGGGGATGATGCTGAAAGAATGCACAAGGTGAATTTCTGCTTTTGTGATGCAGTTGCTGCTTTTTCTCTGGTATGGTTTGAATGTATACAGGGAATACGTGAGAATGCATTGCAGGCTTCAATCACACATGTTTATGACAAGATTTGCGAGGCAACTAAGAATAAGAAGTTAGGTGTAGATGGAAGCCAGAGTTTGGAGGAAGTTCCAGAGGGAACGTTGGAAAACGAGCAGAAGGCTGATGGCTGTGACAAGGAGGCCATGAAGATGCAAACAACAATTGAAGGCGTGCTGGTGACCTTGCAGGCAAGTATGGCATGTGCTGTTATTTCTGATCTGTTTCTTGCCCCTCGGAGTGGACGAGCATTTGATCAATTCCACTGTTCAAGATATGGGTGCTAGATGATGGGGAAAATCATGGCTATGAATTTATTCCTTATGAGATTTTCAGTTGGGGTACTGTATAGTGGGCTTTTGTCTGGTGTATATTCCGTGTAGTGCCTACGTTTCAGGCTATCCGCATAGACGTTGCTGAACCGCCTGTAAATTTCGTGTAATGCCTACGTTTCAGGCTATCCACATAGACATTGGTGACCCGCCTACATTTTCAGGCTGTCCACATAGACCTTGCTGAGCCTTTTTGGTAGGGGAGACGTCTTCAAACATTTGAATTGAATGACTGTAATGATGTATGCTTATTTGACGCTGTTGAAAGCCAAGTCATCCGGTGCTTTGCATCATTTACACTTTGCGAGTTGCAGGACTTCATCAATGTTTTGGACGTGTGTTATGCACTTGGTTGTCTGACGATTTTTACCGCCACTCACACACAGACAGTCTCATACACGCCCATACATGCATAAGAGAAGGGGGAGAGGAGACAGAGTCCAACTGTACCAAGATCAGAGTATGTAGCTGAAGTTCAGCCATGCACAGATGGGGAGACGACACTGCGTGATTCTCACTCTCTGACAAACTCCCAACAACCAATCACAAGAAGAAACCTGCGAGGATAACAATTGGAATTCACACCGATGATGAGCCAATTAAACCAGATATCGTTACAGAGTTTGTCCAGTATCTCGCCACACTCAGAACCCCACACTCCACTCTCTTTCCTACACCCAGTGAGTAGCGCACAACCGAAACAGCCTCTCAGAAGCCAGCGCCAACCACCCAGATGAAGAACAGATCCGGCGATGAAGTCTTCAGTGCCGATGAACAACTCTGACGAAGAAGCCGGCAGCGATGGCTGTCGCCACCCACAAACACTCAGTGAGGAGCCTCGATATAGCCTGGCCAGATGCAGATACCCTCAGGGGTAGATGCGCTGAGGATGCCCCAGCTCCGGCAACCTTCAGAAGGCCGGTTATGGCTGCCGTCCACAGCAAGGGTCTCAGGATGCCGCCTGTAGACAATTGCCACCGCCGACTTGCTTGGCTTCTCCAAACGCTGCATCGCGAAAATGAACAGCCAAAAGTCCCTAAACGATTTCCCTAAACTATTAATAGATTTCTACTACTCTAGCCTTGACCTAGACCGGACTGACTGACCGACAGGTACCGTTTCTGCTTCGGCCTCTCAGCCTCTACCGGACCCGACTATAGGCTATAGGACCGTCTATCAGCTTAGGCCCTTAGGGCCTGTCTGTCCTAGGGGTAGCCCGGGCCTGCTAAACGCAGTGAGGGTAGCTGTAGGAAATTCGAAATACTGCTGGGCCTACTTTCCCCACATTTGCAGATATGTCCCTCAGGAATTTTCCTTACAGGTAGGTCTCTCGGTTAGCCCTCAGCCAAACAAAATTACAAATCTAACCTACTGCTGTACTGTACACATTTGTCTCGGCAGTGGAAATCAGCAAATCATTGCAGGCTTACCCCCCCGGGGATCGAGGACCTCTGAGCTAGGGATGCAGACGAGGTGAACGGCGAGGAAGTTTGCCCTTCTGAGCTGCTTCATATCGTAAAACAACTAACTTTGTTGTCTTGAGAAGTTCCCTTCTGTAGAACCATCTGTTCTCAGAAGGAGGCTGGAACGCGAACCTCACAAGATACTGCCGATCGGGGCCTGTGCGCCACTCATCCTCAATCCATTCCATGTCATATCCCTTACCAGGGATCGGTGGACCAAACTGAGGGGGCCGATCAGGGAATGCATCAGCTGGGGTAAACGGCAACAGCTTGGATGCATGAAAGACCGGGTAGGTCCGTAGATGCAGCAGGACGTCAATGACATAGGACGGGCCAAAAGGGTCGGCCCCTACTGTATCTAAGACCTGCCATGGACCCAGATAATGAGACAACAGCTTGGGGGAGATATCCTCCTCCCTCGACAACTTAGAACTGGCTACCCAGACATAATCACCAGTGTGGATGGGGGAAGGCCGCCAGTGGCGATTGGCTTGTTCAATCATTGCCTTTTGGGCTTTGAACAAGTTCGCCCGCGCTCTTTCCACATCTATGCGGTAGCGTCTGGTGAACTCTGCAGTGCCTGGTGTCAGGTCTGACTTAGCCTTATCGATGATATCATCGAGAGGCTAGCGTGGTTCACGTCCCCAGTGTAACCGGTATGGCCTGAACCCAGTTGAGAAGTGGACAGACATGTTATAAACAAGCTGTGCCCGAGCCAAGTGGAGATCCCAGTCCTGCTGATCTGGAGAGATGATAGGACGCAGCAATTGGAATAAGACTTGGTTCATTACTTCAGCCTGACCATTGGCTTCAGGATGATGACCCGAGGTCATGTCCAATCGTGAGTGCAGGTAGTCCTTATAGTAGGACTGCCACTCATCGCTATAAAATCGGGGGTCTCTATCACTGACTATAGAAGTGGGCGGTCCATGGTGTGTGACCTGCCTCTCTGAAAAGGCTGTTCTCACAGCCGGAACTCTGGCCACTTCTAGCAAGGGGATGAACTCTGTGTATTTGGAGAACCTGTCCACGCAGACCATAACCTGACGCATGCCACGAGGGGTGGTCTTACCTAAATCTGTGAAGTCTATCGGCAGAGACTCAGCAGGGCCATCAGGTAGGGTTTGAGCAATCCCAAAGGAGGCCTCCGTTGGACCTTATTCCTCTGGCAGAGCTCACAGGTTTCTACACAACGCAGCATATCACTCCGCATCTCCTTCTAGAAGATGCGCTGCGACAGGGTTGCATATGACTTTAGGAACCCAAAATGTCCACTGGCGTCATGACACTCTGACATCAGCAGTGTCCTGAGCCGCTGATCCTGGGGAATGCACAAGCGCTCCTCACCTCTGCTGTAGGTATACAGCAACTCTGAACTCAGGGCATAGTCGGGTTCAAAACTGGGGTCCGCTTGCAGATTCCTGACTATGGGTCCATAAGTCGGGTCCTGAGGCAGTAGATGAGCAATGGTCTGACGGGTCTCCTCTCCAAAGGAGTGAGTAGAGGAGATCAGGGCAAAAGAGTCAGGCCTACACGAGAGGGCATCTGCTACTTTGTTGTAGCAGCCCTTCTTATGCTTCATTTCAAAGTCAAACATATCGATGAACTGAATGTAACGTGCCAACTTATCATTCAACTCTCCCTGGGACTTCATCCACTGTAAGGTGGAGTGATCTAAAAAGATCTTGAAGTGTCTCCCAAGGAGAAAGTGCTTCCAATGTTTCAGGGCACAGACAAGAGCATATAGCTCTTTCTCGTAGGTGGAGTCCTGCAGCTTTTGAGTTTTGATCTTCTTACTCGTAAACTCTACAGGCCGTAGACCATTCTCATCATCCTGCTAAAGAACTGCCCCAATGCCATACTGACTAGCATCAATGGTCAGGATAAATGGCAGAGTGGGGTCAGACAACTTTAGCACTGGTGCACGAGTCAAGGCCTTCTTGAGTTGTGTGAAGGTGAACTATTAGTGGAGGGACCAAAGAAAAGGAGTGTCTTTCTTTGTTAGTTTGGTCAGGGGTGCAGCCATTGCAGAGAAGTTCCTGACAAACTTTCTGTAGTAGGAGGCTAAACCCATGAAGGACCTGACATCCCTCACTGTCTGTGGTTGTGGCCACTCTTGAATAGCAGCTATCTTGGCTGCTTCAGGAGCCAGGCCATCTCCAGAGATTACGTGACCCAGATAGATGACAGAGGGAACTCCAAAAGAGGATTTATCTCTGTTAATCTTGTATTGGCTGTCACGTAATGACTGAAGGACGAGAGCCAGGTGCTCCGCATGTTCCCTGGCAGTCCGGCTGAATACCAAGATGTTTCCAAGTAGACAACCATGAACTTGTCCAGGTATGGCCTGAAGATGCGGTGCATCTCTGTCTAAAAGGTACCTAGGGCATTGCAAAGTCCAAATGGCATGACCAGGAACTCGTAAGTACCGTACCTGGTTTTGAAGGCTGTCTTATAGACATCCTCCTCAGCCATCTCAATCTGGTGGTACCCAGATTTGAGGTCGACTTTGTTGAACAGTGTGCAGCCCTGCACCATATCCTGAAGGTCATCGATCCTAGGAAGTGGCTCTGTACTCTTCCTAGTGATCTTGTTGAGACCCCTGTAGTCAATGCACATTATGAACTCGACGTTCCCTTTGGGCACAAAGAGAACCGGTGCGCTGAATTTAGAAGTGCTAGGTCTAATCCAGCCTTTGCTGGTAAGGGTCTCAAGCTGCTTTCTGAGCCCCTCGAGCTTAGCAGGGGACATCCTGTAGACTCGTCCCTTAGGAGGGACTGCTCCAGGTAGTAGCTCGATGCGATGCTTGGTTGGCCGGTTGGGTAGTCCAAAGGGCTCCTGCATCACATTAGCGTACTGATCCACAACCTGTTGTATCTCAGGAGGATAGGAAACAGGGGGAGCATCAGTCTGCTTGACCAAAGCTATGAACAGACGCTCATGATCGTACTAGCGCGAGAGAGAATATAACTCCCTCGCTCCCAGGCAGTAGCAAGAAGTCTTAGGGTGATGATCAGCAGCAATCATGCATGGCTGATACACCCCCTGACTGTTTGGTAGTTCAACTGTAGGAATTTGCCAGTCGATCCTAGGGTTGACTGCCTTCAGCCACTACATAGAGTACACTAGGTCAAAGGGTAAATCAGGGAATATGTAGAGGTTCAGACTATTTCTGACTTCTCCAACACTGTCGAAGATAACAGGGATTCCCTTAATCTTCTCCCTGATGATGAGCATTGTGGAGTCACCTATTCTGACCAACAGAGGTTGCTGCAGCTGTTGAACTTTCATACCCAGATGTAGTTTCTTGACAACACTGGGAGATATGAAGTTCCTGGTGGCTCCATAATCCAACAACCTTTTGATCATGCTGTGGTTGATCAGGGGCGAATGTAG